CTTCCTCTGTAAACTCACGTGTAATAAATGACTCATTTATCCTTTTTTCTCAACTGAGGTCCCTTTCCTTCATTTTCATCTGTAAATACAGAACAAAAATATTCATTGAGGCAGTCAGCTAGACCTTTATCATCTTCTACATACCTTCCTTCTTTTGTTTTTAATCTAACTAATCCTTGTTTTACTTTTCTTTTCTCATTTATGTATCTAAAAATGTTTTATCCCCCTTTTTTACTGACTGTGCTATTTTCTCTTCTGTGTGTGATTTGGAAGCTCTTATAACTTGCTTAGCCTCTTTCTGCTTAATCTTATAGATCATTTTGTCTTCCTCACTCTGTTTTTTTTTATAATTCCTAAATGCTAACTTTTTGTTTTTAACTATTTTGGCCACATCTGTGGAGTACCACAGTGGTTTCTTGAATTTTTGCTTTTACTGACAAGCCTAATGCAATTCTCTGTTGCCTTCAATAGTGCAACTTTTAAATAATCCCATTTTTCTTGGACTCCATTTAAATTGCTCCAGTCTGATAATGACTCCTCTACCCATATTCTAATTTTAGAAAAGTCTGTTTTTCTAAAGTCTAAAACTTTAGTTTTTGTGTGGTGTGACTAAGTCACTGTTCTTATATTAAACCACAATGACTGATGATCACTGGATCCTAAACTTTCACCTACAGTAACATCTGATACCAAATCTCCATTTGTTAATACTAAATCTAGTATGGCCTCTTTACGAGTTGGCTCCTCAACAACTTGTTTTAGAGACAATCCCAGTAGGGAGTTTAGAATATGTGTGCTCCTGGCACAAGTAGCTAATTTTGTTTTCCAATTTACATCAGGAAGATTAAAGTCACCCATGATGATAACTTCCCCCTTCATTGTCATTTTAGCTACTTCCTCAACTAGTAGTTATCTAACTCTTCAATTTGTCCTGGGGGCCTATAAATCACACCTACAGTTACTGTGCGATTACCAAATTCTAACGTAGCCCAAACGGACTCTATGTTTGCCTCACTAACTTTTATTAGGCTAGATTTTATGCTATCCTTCACATACAAGACCACCCCTCCCCCTTTCTTGCCTTCCCTATCTTTCCTATATAAAGAGTACCCTGGTATTGCTATGTCCCATTCATTTTTCTCATTATACCATGTCTCGGTAACAGCGACTAAATCTACACTATCAGTTGCCATTATTGCCACAAGTTCATGGATCTTATTCCCTAAACTGCGAGCATTTGTAGACATGACTCTAAGCTTATCATTTTTTAACACACTTGCTACAGGCACCTTCTGTCCTTCTTTTGGGGGACAATTGGATTGATGTTTTATCACCCTTTTGCCCCCCCCCCCTCCTAGTTTAAATACATCCTAGCAAAACCTCTGAACTGCTCACTGGGAACATTTGTTCCCTTTTGAGAAAGATGCAAACCATCTTTTTTGTACAGCTTATATCCATTTCAAACAGAGCTACCATGAAAAATAAAGCCAAATCCTTGCTCCGACACCATTCACCAAGCCACAAATTAAAGTCCCTAATACGCATCCGCCTGTCGTTCTGAGTGTTATGCACAGGCAGAACTTCAGAGAATGACAGTGTGGAAGCAACCTGCCGTATATCATTGTCAAAAACACTAAAAACTTCCTTAACCTCTGAAACCTCATTGCAAGCCAAGTCAAGTACATCCAATTCCCCTTCCTGCTTTGCTTGCTTAACAATATTACAGATAAGTCTCCTGTCTCTGTGAGCAGTAGCTCCGGTAAGACACCTCACAAGACCACCATTGTCCATCTCCACACCTCTTATAATGGAATCCCCCAACAACAACTGCTTTCTATTAGGCCTCACCATAGTCTCCAAGCCGGTCTCCACAACACCACTAGTCTCAGTGCCTCTCTCCACAACACCACTAGCCTCAGTGCCTCTCTCCACAACACCACTAGCCTCAGTGCTTCTCTCCACAACACCGCTAGCCTCAGTGCTTCTCTCCACAACACCGCTAGCCTCAGTGCCTCTCTCCACAACACCGCTAGCCTCAGTGCCTCTCTCCACAACACCGCTAGCCTCAGTGCCTCTCTCCACAACACCGCTAGCCTCAGTGCCTCTCTCCACAACACCGCTAGCCTCAGTGCCTCTCTCCACAACACCGCTAGCCTCAGTGCCTCTCTCCACAACACCACTAGCCTCAGTGCCTCTCTCCACAACACCACTAGCCTCAGTGCCTCTCTCCACAACACCACTAGCCTCAGTGCCTCTCTCCACAACACCACTAGCCTCAGTGCCTCTCTCCACAACACCATTACACTCTGAAAGTGCAGAAATGAATTATGTAGAGCAACAGACTGTGCAAAATGCCTTTTATCCACAACTCTAAGTCTACCAGATCCGACAGTAATCCATCTGCCTTTCCTAGCATGTCTCTGCGGCAGTGGCTTTGCAGCAGTTCCAGTCTGAGTTTCTTCACCAGATAATTTACAAATCTCAGACTTCAAAAATACAATCTCCTGCCGCAAGATAGAGAACTGTCTACAGATTAGACAACAACCAAACCTCCAAAAAGTGGAACATGAAACAAATGCATAGCAATTGTTACACTGAACTAAGTCTGCCATTCCAATTATGTGAATAATTTAACTCTAACAAATCTTAACTTTTTTCTTTATTCTCCTGAATACCTCAGATTACCTCCAGGTTATCTCCAGAATATCTCCAACTACACACTTAGAAACAGCACTCTCCATAATATCTCCAACTACACACTTAGAAACAGCACTCTCCAGAATATCTCCAACTACACACTTAGAAACAGCACTTATTAGACAAGCTAATGAGACCAAGCCTTATATAACCCCTTAAATCACCGCCCACTAGGAATGTTTAACACCTGGGTAGGCCTCTGCTTATTTGCAAACAATAGCTAATTAACCAGCAATCAACAACAAGTAACTAGCTTAATCAAATCAAATGACTTATAATTACCAACAGGAATTCAAACCTTGGGCAATCAGTAACCTTTTCCTACAGATGAATCTTACCTGTAACAGTAGAAAAGAAAGCTCTTAGCACAACTCTTAGACAGTTGAAGCTTCTGTAAAACTCTCCAGAATATCTCCAACTACACACTTAGAAACAGCACTTGGAAGTAGCACCAAGCTATATTGCGCAAACCGGAGAAAGACTCCCACGCAGAGTGGGCACACAAACTGGATCAAGCCTCCCAAGGGTGGATACAAGCCAGCCAAGCTACCACCATGGAGGAGTTACGACAATTGCTGTTAGAGCAATTTTACAATGGCCTGTCCCCGAAGGCACAAGAACAGGTGAGAGACAGAAAACCCCTCACCCTAACCGAAGCTGCACGACTGGCGGACCAGCACTATGATGCCAGGAGACATCATGATAACCTCAATCGAGGGTATCCTCGACCTGCCACTAAATCTAGTATGGCCTCTTTACGAGTTGGCTCCTCAACAACTTGTTTTAGAGACAATCCCAGTAGGGAGTTTAGAATATGTGTGCTCCTGGCACAAGCAGCTAATTTTGTTTTCCAATTCACATCAGGAAGATTAAAGTCACCCATGATGATAACTTCCCCTTCATTGTCATTTTAGCTATTTCCTCAACTAGTAGATTATCTAACTCTTCAATTTGTCCTGGGGCCTATAAATCACACCTACACGAGTTACTGTGTGATTACCAAATTCTAACGTAGCCCAAACGGACTCTATGTTTGCCTCACTAACTTTTATTAGGCTAGATTTTATGCTATCCTTCACATACAAGGCCACCCCTCCCCTTTCTTGCCTTCCCTATCTTTCCTATATAAAGAGTACCCTGGTATTGCTATGTCCCAGTCATTTTTCTCATTGTATCATGTCTCAGTAACAGCGACTAAATCTACACTATCAGTTGCCATTATTGCCACAAGTTCATGGATCTTATTCCCTAAACTGCGAGCATTTGTAGACATGACTCTAAGCTTATCATTTTTTAACACACTTGCTGCAGGCACCTTCTGTCCTTCTTTTGGGGGACAATTGGATTGATGTTTTATCACCCTTTTGCCCCCTCCTCCTAGTTTAAATACATCCTAGCAAAACCTCTGAACTGCTCACTGAGAACATTTGTTCCCTTTTGAGAAAGATGCAAACCATCTTTTTTGTACAGTTTATTTCCATTCCAAACAGAGCTACCATGAGAAATAAAGCCAAATCCTTGCTCCCGACACCATTCACCAAGCCACAAATTAAAGTCCCTAATAAGCATCCGCCTGTCGTTCTGAGTGTTATGCACAGGCAGAACTTCAGAGAATGACAGTGTGGAAGCAACCTGCCGTATATCATTGGCAAAAACACTAAAACTTCCTTAACCTCTGAAACCTCATTGCAAGCCAAGTCATTTGTCCCTAGATGGACAAGTACATCCAATTCCCCTTCCTGCTTTGCTTGCTTAACAATATTACAGATACGTCTCCTGTCTCTGTGAGCAGTAGCTCCGGGAAGACACCTCACAAGACCACCATTGTCCATCTCCCACACCTCTTATAATGGAATCCCCCAACAACAACTGCTTTCTATTAGGCCTCACCATAGTCTCCAAGCCGGTCTCCACAACACCACTAGTCTCCGTGCCTCTCTCCACAGCATAAACTCAGTGCCTCTCTCCCACCAACTACCATGGCTGGTGCTTCTCTCCCAACACGCTAGCCTCGGGTGCTTCCTCCTCCCACAAGCTTACCGCTAGCCTCGGTGCCTCTCCACACAACACCCACGGCTAGCCCTCAGTGCCTCTCTCCCACAACACGCTTCAGCCTCAGTGCCTCTCTCCCACGGCACCACTAGCCTCAGTGCCTCTCTCCACAATACCACTAGTCTTAGTGCCTCTCTCCACAACACCACTAGCCTCAGTGCCTCTCTCCACAACACCACTAGCCTCAGTGCCTCTCTCCCACAACACCATTACACTCTGAAAGTGCAGAAAATGAATTATGAAGAGCAACAGACTGTGCAAAATGCCTTTTATCCACAACTCTAAGTCTACCAGATCCTACAGTAATCCATCTGCCTTTCCTAGTTTGTCTCTGCGGCAGTGGCTTTGCAGCAGTTCCAGTCTGAGTTTGTTCACCAGATAATTTACAAATCTCAGACTTCAAAAATACAATCTCCTGCCGCAAGATAGAGAACTGTCTACAGATTAGACAACAACCAAACCTCCAAAAGGTGGAACGTGAAACAAATGC